TCAATAAACATCGATGAAATCATTAGGCAAAAATCACTTTGGTTTTGCTTTTCACAAACTTATTATAATGTTCATGATATCAACAAGTTTCATTTCATTTACTTTTGTAACAGTCAACGTTCCATAATCTAGAGGCTACACATAACTTCTGATTCCCTTTCTCTTTTTGCAATATATTACAGTACTACTTCTTAGCTTAGCCACTGGTGGCTATTTGACTTTATGTGGTAGGTGGGGAGTATTGTGATGGTGGCTAATTGATCTTAAACCCTTCACATCACATTGTATAAACCTGCAGTAAGTACTACTCTGCTTTTGTGCCCCAGGTTTGTCTTTAACCAGTGATGTGTTATTTTCTGTCAACCTGAATTGATATTTTTGAACATTTATTTGTTCTTTAACCATGAACATGACTTGTGCACATCAATTTTGATTTCAGTCTTTGCATGAGTAGCTAAGACAGAATTTCTCCTTACAGTATCAATACAATATAAACCAGACGGGTGATGAGAATAAAGAAAATATCAATTTGGGGATAATTAGTTGATCCAATTCTAAATTTTTTTAACTAACATCATAGGAATTGTATGGTTGGTGGTAAGGAGAATTACAAATTTAATCTGGGAGTTAAAGGGCTGATGGTTTTTTTTTTTCTTTTTTGCATAGGTCCCAGGTTTCAAAGTTTCAGATCAAGATTTAATTTTACTGAATTGAAGACAGTGTCTGGTAAGTAAACCAGATGTAGTATCTTGTCATCAACTTTAAAATAGTTGTCTTCTATGGAAATCAGATCGTCTCCTTTTAAAAGCATGTTTAGATATTCTGGTTAACCCTTTACACCCTAAGAGTGACTAGCCTCAAATTTCTCCACACAATATCAGCCCTGAATCAAACATAAAGGTCATGAGAATAAAGGAAGTGATCACTAACTAAGCAAGGTTTTGATTGGTAAACAAATTCTCCTTCTCAGCACCTCAGGAAATGTATAAAGAGCAGTATGGAGAATATGCATACTGATTTTAGGAAGACAGCAAAACGTGTTGTGTTTGTGTAACAGCTGCAAGGAAAATTGACTGATATTCTTACCACCTGACTCAGAGTTCACAATTAATTTTAACTGCTAGAGGTGTGTGTGAGTGGTACAGCTGATTGCTTTGTAAATTCACAGTAAAATAAGTCTGTATTTGTTCTAAAGACATCAAAAACCTGTGGATAAAAACCTAAAATTTAAGAACCAGTCAGGCTCAATTTTCCAGTGGAGCACCCCTCTTATAAGAAACATTCTAGGCTAAAATCTCAATACAGGTTCTTATTTTTAGAATGTAGAGTTTATTCAAATTTGATACTGCACATTGCACGGGATACAAAATGGTGACAAAAACTAGTCAGAACACCGTCAGCATGTAAGACCACAATGCTGTACTGTCAATACATCCATAGATATGCAACAGATCTGATTGTGTGTACAAGTTAACCCTGTAAAGTAGGGTACTATGAGGCTGGCATACAGTGCTGTACAGTAAGAACCCACATAAAAGAAGATCGTTTTATGTTCCTACATAATGGGTTTTTTTCTGCAAAATTAGCCTGAAAATGTTCTTAAGGTGTTCTTAAAATTGTTGCCATTAAAATTTTTATACTGCATAGACTACCAACAGATGAAATCAATATGCAAGCACAATATTTTAATTAATTAATAGATGGAACTAACCTTAACTGCAGTAATCAAGGCAATAATATTACATTGGGGAAGGGGTGGCAGTTCTGGTGATAGACAACTCGAAACTCGGCAAAACTCAAGCAAATTTAAAATGCACCAGCTCCCCTCCTCTCTTTCCATGTAACTATTGACTGGTCCCCAATCCTACAAGCAAAATGATGGCATCCCGTTTCTTAAATTTCCAGTCCAATTATCAGATCCATTTAAATCTGATAATTCTTCAAACCTTGGGGTGAGATCTTTACATCATCAGAGCCATCTGCTGTTAGAAAACAGCCAGTTTTCTCAAACAATGTCTCATCATTACTTGGCTCACTCCATACCTCCCCAGTCCATTGGGTCATCAAGATCCTCCTATCCTTTGCTGAAAGTCTATCCTGCCATTTATTGAGATTGTTCTCCTCTTCCAGCCATGTTTCCATTGTTGCACCAATTTTATCTTTCATCATTCGACCACATCCTGCATCAATGGGATGGATTTTGTCAGTGTGTTTTTCAGGTATCATGTAAACTGTAGTGTTGATATGATTTCTGTATGTTTCATGGAATGTTTGACTTTGTTCCAAGCCAACATTGTCTGCAAATAGAACTTTTTCTTCTTTGTCATTCCCAATTCCTGGAATAAGTTACCCTGGACCCACTGTATGTTGATGTCTTCATCCATCCAGGTATTTTGCTGGAAATACACATCAACCCTCTTTTCAAACTTTTTCTTTCTCCTCAATGGCTACACGCCCTTTTCCTCTGAAGATAAGAGCTGGCTTTACATTTTGTTCCCCATCAGCCCTAGTACAAAGTTGTTGAGTAGCTTGTTTATTTAAACCAGATGATGGTTGTGACAGGCACTTTTGCCCAGCACCCAATGTGTCATAGATTTTATCTTGCTCATTTACAAATGGGAGAGAAATGGAATCTATTTTGTGGCATCCATCTTCCATACTTTGGGTCAACTGTAGAGGACTTTTATCTTCTCCTTTGTGTTTTCAAGGCTTTCCTCAAATCCCTGTTCATAATCCACTTGTTCTTTTATGTGGGTTTTTACTATATCACTGACCCACACCCACCAATACAAGTTGCTTGTTTTTTTTTTAATAGTTAAGAACAAGATTAAGAACCTAGGTAGCCTAATTTCACAGTAAACACTATTTATATTGAGCCTGTGGGGGCTAACTTGAAAAAAACCTAGGTCGATATACCCAGGTTTTTAACTGCAGTAAGCCCTAGGTTCCATTTGGCTCCAAACTTTTGAAGGGGACTTGATAATGTTTTGTTCACTTCCTTTTCTTACTTTGCTGTGTCATCATGAAAACCTGCACTTAGATTTAATTTGATCATGTAAAACTATTATTAAAAATAATGAGTAATAATTAAAACAAGTTCCTTGGATCTCTTCTCCTTGTGTGAATCAAGAGATCTCTAGACCGTAGGCTGCCCAAGTCACATTATCTTTTTTGGCAAATTACTAAAGACCTGGTACTGATGGGCACCCTTTAATCTGTGCAAATCCTTAAAAAAAGCCAAAGAATTTCCTCATAGGAGTATGAAGGAGACATCATGCATAACTGCAAGTGTAAATTTTTTCGCTGTTGTGTCTTAATGACATGGTTTAAACAGCTTGGATTTAGGCATCTTGGTCTATTTTGTAATCCCCCTACTAAACAGAATAGTAGTCAGAAGCATGAATTATAGTTCTATTCAGTGTTTTAAAGGATTGTGATGTAACTTATGGCGTAAAAGTACCAATTGAAAGTACTCGCAATAATTAATAGGACTCAAATAAAGAGAGTGGAGGGGGGGGGTCTCTTACATTCAGTGTGCCAGACTCTGGGTTAAGAAGTGTGGGTTTGAAACCTGGCAGGGTCGTTGTGTTGTGTTCTTGGGCAAAACACTTTACCATCAACATGGCTCTCTCCACCCAGGAGTATAAATGGTACAGGTAAATTGTCAGGGAAGCCTAATGAAATGCAAAGGGGCATGGGCATCTTGCAATGATCTGGCATTCCATCAAGGGAGAGAGGTAATACCCCTAGTTGCCTTGTGCAACAGAAACCCCGATAAGCTTTCACTGGACTGGCTATATAATTAGCTTGAGTGTAGACTTTACCTTTTTACCTACCAAATGCAGAGTCACTCTTTAAGGTAGTGATCCCTGCTTTTCTGGGCTTAGTGCATTGCAAACTCAAGCATACTGTATAGGCTAACTATCTTCTTTATATATATCTGTATATATTCTAGAAGGGTAATTGAGATGATTTTGGTTTTTTTTACTCTTCAGAAATGCCAGTCACAGAACTTTTTTATAATTGGGTGCCAGGTGAAGTCCTCAAAAGGTAAAGTTAAATGTACATGTAATGTGACGTGAGACTTTTCACAGTATCGTTTTTATGTTATTATAACTACAAAAATTATGTCATGCGCATTATTTTAATATTGTTTTTCTGCTTTGTGAAGATACAAGGAGACAACAGTGGAACAGGGGAAAAATTGACATGGCTCCTCAGTAAAACAGTGGTAAGTAGTCAACTTTGTAGAGTATACCAGGAATTGCTTTATAACCGAGGTACCATTATCCCATAAGCAAAAGATAAAGAACCATAGGAAAGGTGGATTATTTTTGAAGGGAAGACACAATAGAGCCGCCTTTGTCCTTGGCTGTGCAGCTAGGAGGATACCATGACAACCCTACCACAGCCATCTTACGGTCACGTCACACTGCACTCACAACTTAGAAAGTATTACCAATTCTTTCAAATATGTAACTTTCTAGATGTGGAAGGGAGAAAGGACACGTAATTGCAAACGCTTCAGTTTGAATCTCAAATGAATTGAAAGGCTAGTAAATCTTTTTACAGGCGTAAGAGCAAAGTGTCGCGACTGGGAAAGTGCTATAGTCCACCACATCGCACTATGTGATGGAGTAGTGATTCACAGAAGTGGCAGAGGCAACTGGAATAAGTTCTTACATAAGTGGATTATTGAGTATGAAGCGTTAGGGTAGACTTATGAGTTAAACTTATGATGGTTGTGAAGGATGTTCAATGATAGGCAACATAAAAACGTGTTGAAAAGGATTAGAAGTTTTCTGCAACTCTGAGTAAATATGATTACTGTGACTTGAGATACGTTAACATTTTAGTATTCACTAGAAATTGCTATACAGCTAATTCATTATTTTTTATTATTATTTTTATTTCCTTTGCATTATCTACAAAGAACGTCGGATTTTCCTTTTGCCACACTGGTACGTTTTGACGAGTAATCCATAGTACTTTGGATCAAAATGGCAACTGCCTCACCCTCGCCTTTAGCCAGCTCCGCAGAGAAGACAAATGGAGCCAAGTTGAATAGACTTCTTATCGATGGTGGAACAACAGTGTTGAGGACCATTTTTGATGGCTATCACCCACCGGCAAGGCTGTCTGCTGGACTTACTGCCCACCATTTGACCCTGAATGCTCTCCTTTATAAAAAGGTTTTGCGTGCGGCTCAGTGGTGCAAACTATTCCCACCTGGCGGAGCAGCACCAGACTCAAACACGTTTGATATCACTCTCCTATTTCTCCTACTCACCAACATTTGCGGACTATCCCCTCCTCCCTTAGGGTGGCATTCAAAGCCATCTCCGAGTGACAACTCTCTTGAAGCAAATCTTGCCCGTGTGAAGTTCTTCCGCAACGAGTTGTATGGCCACGTCACCAGCACTGGCATTGACACGCCCACTTTCACTTCTCTGTGGCAAGAAATTAGTGCTGTTCTTGCTTTCCTTGGGTTGGCCCAGGTAGAAATAGACAGACTGAAGATGGAAAATTGTGGAGAGGAAGATTATCTTGACCTGTTACTTGATTGGGTTAAAAATGAAGAGGATATCAAGTCACAGTTGGCACAACTGCAGCAACGTCAGGCCGAAATTCAACAAGGTATTGTTGAAGTGCGTCAGACGCAGAGAAAACTCGAGAACTTCAAATCAAATCTCGACCAACTTGAAAACCATCAAACGCTAGATAAGGTACATCAGACTCAGATTGAAGTGCAAAAAGGTATCGTTGAAGCGCGTCATACTCAATTAAAAGACCACAGGACACTTGAGGAGAGCAAGTCAAAACTTGACGCAATGTTTGACCACCGAATAAAAACAAGTGAAGACATTGAACGGGTTCGTCAGATGCAATACACGGACCACAAAATTCTTGAAGAAGTTCGCGAAACTCAAATCAACACACAAGAACTGAGAAGAAAAGACAGGGAATATGAAAGCCTCAAGAAACTCGCCAAGATTGACGTGGAAAAAGATGTGAAATATCATGCTGAACGGTACCAAGAAGGAACTCGCGCATCTTTGTTTACGGAAGTTGAGAATTGGTTGGAAGATAGGACCTCCAAAAATCGTGTTATGGTAATTAGTGGATATCCAGGGATGGGGAAGTCGGTGGTTTCTGCAGTTGTGTGTAGAAGGCTTATGGAAGTGGGACGACTATCAGGTTGCCACTTTTGTCGGCATAATAAGGCACGCCAGAGGAGTCCAAAAGTAATGCTTCAGTCTCTAGCTTGCCAACTTAGTGAATCTATGAATGAGTACAGGGATTTTCTTGTGGACGTTCTCTCCAGAAACCTTGGCTTAGAACTAAATGACATGGAGGTTAAAGAACTGTTTGAATTGTTGTTTGAAGGACCTCTAACGAAGGTGAAAAATCCTGGCAAAAACATTCTTATGGTTGTAGATGGACTGGACGAAAGTGAATACCGTGGACGGAATGAGCTGCTTGATGTCATTTCCAATCACTTTAAGAAGCTTCCTTGCTGGATTCGATTTCTCGTGACAACTCGCCCAGAAATAAACATCGCAACTATGCTTGAAAGTTTTAGTCCTCTTACATTGGAGCCAAATGATGAAGAAAACTTGAGAGACATAAGACTGTTACTCAAAGGAAAGCTCAGTAATTTTATCCAACCGCAAGATGAACGTTATGTCATTGATGAACTAGTGGCAAAGTCCGAAGGAAACATCATGTTTGCCTATTTACTTTCATGTTTTATCCAAGAGAGTACTTTGCCTTGTACTCCTGAGCAGCTGGTCAACACTCTGCCCTTTGGTATTTCTTCTGTTTACCAAAACTACTTTCGACGTCTAGAGAAAGAACTTTTCAAGGAATTAAACATTGACGAAGAGCGATTTTTAATGTTTCTAAGTGCACTCGTTGCTTCAAGAGAACCTTTGTTGCTTGGCTTTGTCACTAAAATTTTGATTTCGGGCAAGATGTCTCAAGCTGATCGGCGCAAAGTGAGGAGGGCAATCGGGTGCATATCAGCTTTACTTCCAATTTCTGATGAATGTATTCACTTCTTTCACAAGTCCGTTAAGGATTGGCTAAGTAGTTCTTCGTATTATGGGGATCACGATTTTATTGTAGACGTCAAGGAAGGCCAACGCATTCTTTGTGAACTTTGCATTGAAGAGATTGACGACGTCAGGCGAAAAGGAATTAAAAGAGGACAATTGAGTAGCACGAATCGGTATGCCCTTCAACACGGTGTCCAACACCTGTTGGAACAGGAGAGTGCAAGGAACGCTTGCTGGTTTGGTGAAGTTGTAGAGAAGTATGTGGTTGACTTAGAAATTGTGTATGCAAAGCTCTGTACGAACAGTGCAGCAGCTTCTGAAGATATAGTTCATGTGCAGAAGCATAAGAGTTTTAGTGGTTTGTGTCAAGAATTGATTATTTCCCTTGATGCTCTACTATGTCTTTTAAGGAGGTACACAACGCTTTTGAAAGAATTCCCGGATGCATTTTTCCATACCCTGTTGAATGTAGGAGGAGCAAAACTGGCTCGTGAAGCAAGGAATCTTTTGGAGTCGAAATGTTACGAACTTCCCTTTATGGAGTACGTAAACAAGGCGGAGTTACAAGGGAAAATTCTTGCTAAATTTTCTTGTCAGTCCGGAGTGATTTGTTTTGATGTTTCACCGCAACTGGACTTCGTTGTATGCGAGTGTTCTGGGGGTACGATAGAGTTGTGGTCACTTCATACTGGGGAACGACAGTGGGTACGTCCTGTAACTACAATCGAAAAGATGAACATCTACAGGGAAACAATTTCCTCATCTGTGAGGTCCAGGGAGAAGTCAATAGGTGATTACTCGTTTTCATGTTATCGTTCAGTTGTTTTCCATCCTGCCGGTAATTTTGTCTTACCTGGTGAACTTAGACAAGCCTATACATTGGGTGGAGACCTAAAGTCACTTTTTCCGAGAAGCCAATGCACTTTCACGGTATGTTCGGTTTCTGGTGGCAAGACCATGATACTAACAGATTGCCTTAAGGATAATAAATGCATCATTTTGTGGAGTTTAGTTAATGGCAAGGAAAAGAGTCGTATTAGCAGAGATGAAAAAGTTCTTTCTTTTGCGTGGTCAAAAGATGAAAATCGGATTGCAATTTCCCATTTATCAGGTTCGATTTGTGTGTTGGACGTTATGAGTGGGTTTACCACAATAGCGGAAACAACTACTTCCAAGGCATGTGGGATGATAAGGTTTTCACCCGATCAACAGAGTCTCTTTGCAGGTAATGTTTCCTTTGAGGATCATGTCATGTATCATTTCAGTCTCATCAAAGGAAATCATCAGAAGTGTTTGTTAGCCGTTCATTGTCATTCAGCCAATGGCAAATTTTGTCCCCGGAATTTCGAGACCCGAAGCGAACCTGGATTTTTGTTGGGAGATCAGTTTGCTATCTATTCCGAGAGAGCCATAACTTATCTGAACTTGGAGTGGGGATTTGTATTAAACAAGCAAACGGTCTTAGAAGGTTCACCCCACTGCAATGTGATGGAATTGTTAAGGATTCCCACTGAATCGACGAACAAGGAAAACTCGTCAAGTTACAAAATTCGACATTTGGCTATATCTTTGAATGGCGAATCCGTCTATGTTGTAAATGAAAGTGAAACTGAAAAGGAAATCTTAGCTTGGGACACGACGAGGGAAGAACTCAAGATGAAGAAATCTGTCGGGAAGCTCGTACCCACCAGCCTTCTGCCAGTGAAAGACGGGGTATTATTTTCGACAAGTGATTGCTGTCTTGAGTTGTGGAATCTTGAATTGTCTACTCGCATACAAAAGTGGGACAACATACCCGAGATGTCACATCTGGTCTGCATGTCAGAAGAACGAGTGGCATGCGTAGGGAAGACAAACGAGAGGGTGGTGGTCTTTGGTTGGGGTGATTATGAGTTGTGGGATATCGTGTTAAATGAATGTGAACAAGGCGAGTCTTATTCGACTGCAATGGAGCAAACAAGATCAATAGCAAAGGAAGAATTGTCAACTTTAGAGGAAAGTGTCGTGGTAGTGGTCATTCTAAGTGTATCGAGTGGAAAAGTCCTGTCAACGATTCGCATCACAAATGGACGTCTCGTTGCTTGTAGCAGTAGACTTCGTTTGATAACAAGCCACGATAGTTTGGTTGAGGTTTTGGACGGCGGACGAGCCGTTCATTTACCGCAACGCTTAAGTCATAAGCGCATCCTGGACAACCGCATTGAACTTTGGGGAAGTCTCAGAGGGCTTGCAGGGAAGTTTTCTTCCAGTGGTCAATATGTTATTATTTGTGGAAGCGCCAACATCAGGCCATTCCCAGACGTGATTGATGATGATGAGATAACACCGCGTTCTTCGAGCTCTCTGCGTGTTTTTGATGCAGTTTCATGCATGACACTTCACACTTTAAGTGTAGAAGGAATTCCTACTACCTATAGTTATGATTTCATCAGCGAAGAGGAGTTTGTGATTTATACATGTTCTTATTTAATGAGCGGTATTCTTCAATTGTTTAACGTCAAGTCTGGAGACCCTCTCACTGCCATTGAAATTGACAACTTCGATTGTCATCTAGCAAGCTGTCGTCTGAAGCGTCTTATTGCCTTTGACGTTAACGATTGTTTTGCTGGATTCAGAGTTGTCCGTGTGAATTTAACGGCAAAAAAAGACGATAATGACACTGGAAGGTACGTAATTTACAGGACTGTAGAAGAATTAACTTATGAAGCAATGACGCACTAATGCTCATAGTTAAGGCTTATTCTTCGTCAAACTTGCGATAGAGTTTCAAAGAATCGCTTGATGTTCGTGACAAATAGGTTTTCCCAGAGGTAATTTTTGCTCCCAGATTCACTCACGTCTTTTTTGTGGTTTGCCGATTGAATGTCAGAGAAGAATTTCGACGGTAAAAAAACTGCATTTGAAAAGTGCTATCTGTGATAAATAATGAGCAACAACTGAGTCAACTATTACCTTACACGGGTGTCTTGTTCAGGTTATTCAATCTCACCAGCCGAACGTTGTGTTGGCACCTGTGGATTCTAATTATTTACTTGATGATTGAGTTTAATCTTCTCTTTCGTTGACAGGTTGAAGCTTGCAGAGAAATAGAGGAAGCCGACCTCTTAGAGAGCCACGCTATGCACAATGGATCCCTGTATAAAGCAACGCATCGTAGTGATCAGTAGTTCTTGTGACTCGTGTTTCTGAAGATTCAAAAAAAAAAAAAAAAGGAAAGAAACAAGGAACAGTAGAATGGTAGATTAACATTATTCAGACCTTTTTATGCACAGTTAAACCGTTGACACTTTGCTAAAGATTTTAAAACATGCTCTTCCGCAGTCCAAAAATGCGTATGGTCATTGAGTTCCCAGCGGAAATAGGGTATCCTTGAATCACTAGTGACAATTTTCTTGCATAGAGGTATAACTATATGCGACAATATTACTTAAAAATGTAATACGTACGAATTTTTGAGAGTATATAGCTGCGATCAAATGTCTCGGTTCTTTGCTCAGTGTCGGTATTGTTCGAGAGTGAAGAGTTTCGCAGTATATCATATCTACTGTCTATTTATGTGAATACTATAAATACATATTACAAATAGATTATGAATAGATCATTGATTGCTAAAAATCTTTACTAGTTGAACGCGGGACTATTGAGAGACGTTAGGTGGTGGCTGGAGAAAATTTGAAGTAACTTTATAATTAAATTGTCGTAGATGTTCATTACATTACTATAACTCTCGAACAGGAGGTAGGAGGCATCTTCATATCTATTTGGCTCTTTCCGTTTGGTCCGTGATCTATTCCGACATCAGCATGAATAGAACTTATGGCAGAAGAAGGCGTGCAGTTGGCGCCGAGCCGTTCTTTGACTTGATCACTGTTGCTTTTTCTTTATGTGTATAATATTGGTGGCTGGAAGCTTTCGTTTTTCCTCTTATAGAGGTATTTTATCTATTTATCTTATTTTGCAATTTGTTTTTCGAAGGCTGCAGTATGCAATTTATGACTTCGTTTTCTTACATAGAGAGCTTTACGTATTTTTTTCTCATTTATTTTTCTGCTTAAGAATGAGTGCCGCACACGCCAAGAATATGGAAGTCTAGAATTAAACAATATCAATTGAAACAATCATTTTTCCTTTTCTGTGAAAGAGCGTTATTTAGCTTTTTAAACTCTGGATCAAAGGAGTTGCAGAACATGTACCAAAACTTACTGATCGGGAGACATGATGAAGAGTCTTTGTATTATGTAATAAATACAGGAATTGGTAGTCAATTTTCATCTGCATTGTACCTTAATCCTTTGACCCCTTGGAGTGATTAGCATCTAATTTCTCCTTACAACATCATCCCTGAATCACTCAGTAAGGTGCTAAGAATAAAGAAAAAAATCATCAAGTACAGAAGCTCCTACTTGTTAAACAAATTCTCCTTACCAGCACCTTAGAACTTTATACAGAACAACAAGGAGAATATACATACTGATGTTATGGTGTAAAGGGTAAAACTCAACTCCTGCTTCAGGATCAAAATACAGCTCGCTTCCCTAGCTCTCTTTCGTCACTCTCTTACTTAGCACATGCGCCTATGATCTTGGACATTAATTAAAAGGTATCTGGGTCATCCTTTCCTCATTTCAAGATATATCCTTCATTGCTTTGAGGGATGGGAATTTCCTTTTTCACCTTTATATTCCAAAGTCCTACATAGTCCATACCAAAAGGGGAAAAAAACCTAACTGAACCGTCTTCTGAGGCAGGTAAAACTTCAAAAAACTTTAAAAAAACAATTCCAACTACAATTATAAAAAGCGGTTGATAATAAAGGTAAACTACTCTTAGCCGGATTCGTTACTTTCTCAAAAGACAGGAGTGAAAACATAGTAGTATTCACACTTCGGCTTTGCACTTGAGGAACACGATCTAATTATAGGTTACTTCGGTTCCGCGCCGTTTTCAGCTAAACAAGAGCAAAACCAGAAATTACAAGGTTTTACAAGGAAATGGCCTTTTTAAAGGCCATTTGAAGACCATATAGGGTTTTTTCTACATATCTGATGAAGTCTCTATGGTGTCCACGTTCACGTATGGACGTTTCATCTCTCTAGCACCTTGCAATCCTGTAGTATGAATCAGTGGGGCGTACATGCAATTAGCTACGCTATCGTTACGATTGCTAGGGGAAATGTCAGTATAGTCAGTTCTTGCAACTTGCGTGGCATCTTCAAGTTCGCCACCGTTTCCCTCGCGTCTCAAGCTCATGTAAAGCCCGTTTAAACCAGTCCATGTCGATATAACATCATATGGGAAAACCTCATCGTTATCACGCGTGATATTTTCGGTCCGTGACTCTGGTCTCGGAGACTCCATTTCTTCCACAGTTGCCATCTCAGTAGAGGTGCTCTGCACTGTCAATTTTCTGGATTTCCTTTTCTCAGTTATTAACTTTGTGATCTTTCTGTGGGTAAAACCCACAACAGAGCAGATTATGAGGAGAACGGACAAAACATTGCTTAATTACAAGGAAAAGTTCCTTTTCCGATTTGTACACAAAAGGTAAAGTTTGGGAAATACATGCAGCAACAGAACAGGTGCTATGTAAAGCTTGATCGATGGACAACATAGTAAACCTTAATGACTCAAGTAAACCTCACCGCGGAACTTAATAGCTGCAGACAGCACTCGATTGAAGCACATGAGCTCTGATATGATCTAAGGGACCAGTAACTATGTACCATTTACCGCCGGGGGGGGGGGGGGAAGGGGGGGGGATGGGATGGAGAATTTTGGGAATCATATGGCTTTCAGGAGGAACTGGAGAGAGATCAGTTTTTGCCAACAGTTATAAAGTAGGGACTTTTGAAAATTGTCTGCCAATCTGCTGCCTAATAATACTGAGCCTCATGAAGGTATGAGATGATTTTATCGCGACGCAACCAAAATCTTCCGACCAAACCCCCCCCCCCCCCCTCCATTGCACAGCGTAAGGAAAAACGCTTCGATCTACTCACCCAGACACACAAAGGTATATTTTTCTGTTCGAGCAAGCTTGTATAATTTTCGTATTCTTGCATCAAATCCAGTGAACCCACTGGTCCCACCCTGTTGGTATTCATAGCTTCGATAACCGAAACACATCTCCTCCTCTAACATCAGTAAAGGTACTCAATCACTCTTTTATGCGACTATAAATCTTGTCTGGATCTAGGTCGACAATGTTTTTATCTTTGCCAGTTCTGATGTACTCGTACACTTTCCTCTTTAGACCTTTTCCCAAATTACTATGGCACTTCAGCCACAACCGTAGTTATGAGTTTTTCAGCTCTTCAGGCTTTCGTCCAAGCAGAGAAGTACCTGGAATATTATCTTCCGGGAGAAAAATCGCATTTGAAGAATCATCGCCTGAGCTACTGGACCCTTGACGACTTTGTGACCTCGCTTTCATGCTATACTCACCAGGCGTCACCCACAAGCGACTAATCACAGGAATGGCTCCGACCTGTGATTGAATGATAAAAATAGTAAAAGTTAATAAGTTATATCTTAACTCCTTGCTCGTGAGTATTGTTAACCGCGTGTCTCAAAGCAGAACAATGAAATATCAATGCGAGTGAAAACACCGACAAGAAATGGTTACTTACATAGCGAAGGGAAGACAGCCTTTCTTGTTCAGCGAGGTCGTTCAGCGATATTCCAGCGATGAAAAAGTCATCTGCTGATTAGCTCCGCTGACTAAATTCGTTTAGTCAGTTCAGGCGGAAGACCAGAAACTGGAGCCATTCCTGTATTTCACCGCTTACAGGAATGGCTCCGACTCAAACTTTTAATAATTTTTTTTCAATAATTTTTTAATAATTTTTTTAACAATTTTTGAAAAAAATTCTAAAACTAAACTAGTAAGCAGCGCTGTGCGAACAGTAGTTTTAAAGATTCTCTATTCTCCGACGTGTTTCGTCTAACTGTCGTAAACTTCTTCAGGGAGTTTTACAAGTTAACACTAAACGCCTATATTTATAAGTCATTGTTGGCAGCTATTGAGAGGGCCAATGACCATAAGGGCTTGGCTGGACCTACGAGCAGGACTAGGCAAAGTTGTGAAAATTTTGAAAATTTATTTTGAAAATTTGTTAGGCAAAGCGAGAAATATTTTTGGGAGCCACGGTTTAGCTAAAAATTTTCAAATTTGAAAAATTGAAGCGGTTTTTTTTACAGATGATGCCTGGGAAGCAGTTGGCAAATTAGGTTAGGATAGCTCGTATACTTTACAGAAATTGTGGTTTATGTTTTACTCATTCTTCCTTAAATTTAAGCGGTATAAATACCTTGTCTAAAACGGTAGTGTGATACAATAGCAAACGAGATATACTCGTTCCAATACAGCGTCATGTGATGAACAGCCTTCATTAATTTTAGAACAAGTTTTATAAAATCATTTTACTCTTTCTTGTTATAGCCGAAAACTGTTCGAAGAATGGTTGTACCATCATTGCAAACAGTCAAGGTACTTCGACATGAATCAGTGCGAGAGCTACTGCCACTGGTTTGACTGGTAATGCGTTTTTTTGGTTTGTTTTGTCTTTTTCCTTTTTTAGGTCTAGTGGAGTTGTTAGAAATCGCCATGCAAAATCAATCCGCAACTTTCTTTCAGTTTTCCACCCGAAAAAAACTTTCTCGATTGTGGCCAAACCATATTTCTCCAGCAGAGCATACTGTAAATTAAAAACATCGGTCGCAGCGTCACGCAACATTGCGTGATTTTCCAAACGTGACATGCAGTTGGTAATTTAGTGTTAACAACTGAGTTGACAACGTAAATTACAGGCAATGTGCCAGTTTTTCGATAAACGTGGCTATCCTGTCTCTGTCATTCAAGTGGGCCACCACCATGCCCAACAAATTGATCGATAGTCAGCACTACAAACGGCTGAGGAAGATAACACTGACCGCATTCCATTTAATTTAACACTAACTTAACTGCTATACTCTCCCACCGACGCAATACCACAGTTTCTTTAGAAACGTACCCCTTTATTCATGTGACATGCAGTTGCTGCATTATTTCAAAACTTAGAAACTACATGGCCCTGTAGTTGTTACGAACAGTCACATTTATTTTTAATCAATTTCTTCATGTAACCTTTAGTCACGCATTTGCGGTTTCGTTTGTACAGGACACACCTTGATTTTGTGGCTTGATTTTGATTCATCTGTTTTATATCAAATTACTTGTAAATAGATTCTGACATTTCAAGACCATCACATATAATAAATAAGGTTCAATCGAGGATACAAGTTTTTCTTTTCTTTGCGACTTTATAACATGGCGCCGTAACAACCTGGACAGGATTTTGGGAATCATACAAGTCCGCAGTTCACGACAACGAAAGCATCTCAAAAATCGACAAGTTTAGCTACCTGAGATCACTTCGGGAAGGTGCCACAAGTCAAGCCATTTAGGGCCTTGCTCTATCAAGCTCGAACTACGATTCAGCAGTGGCAATTCTCGAACAACGATTTCGAAGACCGTAACAGATAACTTCCGCGCACATGGACGAGACCCTCAAACTCCAAACCTGTACAAGTGATCGCTCATCGCCTCTTCGGTTTCTCTACGATAAGTTGAGCGTACATGTGCGAGGATTATCTTCACTCGGAGTTACGGTACAGGCACTTCAGTTCAGGCAGTCTATTAATACCGATTATTATGTCTAAGCTACCAAACGAAATAAGGCTTGAAATCGTGCGAAAATTGACCGCTAATGTGTGGAAAATCGAGGAATTGTTAAAAACCATTAAGAGTGAAATCGAGGCGAGAGAAGCAAGCGAAGCGATCAAAGCTAAAGAAGTTCAAGGACGGAAACACAACCATGGTTTGAGAAAGTTTCCCCCAACTGCGAATGCACTGGTTTCCATGCAAGGCAAAGATTTTCAACTTCAATGCGTCTATTGCAGTGGTGAGCATTATTCAGCCTCTTGCACGAAGGTCCAACTACCGAAAGATCGAAAAGAAATACTCCAGAGGGCTAATCGCTGTTTTATTTGCCTCAAAACAGGCCATGGAGCGAACAGCTGCTTTAAGATAAAGAAATGCCGAAACTGCGACGGAAAACATCATCAATCCATTTGCCTGGAATCAAACAACAACTCGCCACGCGACAAAAACAGGCCACCTTCCTCCACATCAGGGGAGCAAAATGATAAAGATACGGAAAATAATGGCGTCACAACAGCGACCTCCAATTTAGAGAATACAAATTCGAAACGCAGAGTTT